AAATTTGTCACTGAATTAATAATGTGTTCGCCCCTACTTTCTACTCTGATTACTGACTTGATCRTTGAAGCCTTTTAGGCAGGACACCGCACTGGTGTCGAGTCATTTGGTTGCAAGATCATTTTTTTCTCGTCAATAMCTCATTTTGAGGGGCACATGGACCTCTCTAAAACTCGTCATCCACCAAGCATTCTCAACGTACGTGCATATTGTATTAAAGGTTAAATTAATCAATATGCAGTGCGCATATATAATAAGATAATAATATATGAAATAGAACTTATTAAATAGTCTAATTAGATTAAATACCTTATCTTCGTCCATCAAACCTATTAAAATCACCCATCTTCTTCCATTTTTTTTTTTCAATTTCTATTCTATAACATTCCACGACTCAATATCCATCATTTTTCTTTCTTTTTAATTTCTTTCCAATCTATCAAAACTACACTTCACTGCGATCCACCATTTGAACTCTTTCCTTGCTCAAACCAATTTTCTTCTTACATAATGAATGTTAAGGGGGTTTGGTTCCCCGTTTTCAAAACGGGGAGTAGGATTTGTTAAGATAAACCCACGTTTGTTTTATTGTTTTATACTATTCAACTCYCCAGGTTGCTAGAGTAYTTTATTCCTACTCCCACTATAGTGTATATTTTGTCTTTACTTTCTCTTCTAAAATGCATTAATGTTTTTAATTAAATATATAAATAAATGAAGAAATTAATTAATTATAATTTTAATTATAAATAAGTAAATAAATTTATTTAAAATTACATGTAATAAATAATTAAATCATATATCGACAATTTTTCTCTAGTTTTTCTTTTCCCAAATGATTCAAGAAAAATCTAATTTTTTTTGTTCTTGGAATCTATTTCTTGCTGTTTTTTTTTCGTTTTATATAGTTGTTCATTTTATTTTCACCATTTTGATTTACTTTTTGTAATCACTATCACATTTGTAAAAGACGTTATAATTTTATATAATTATTTATTTTGATTTTATATATTCTTTTTARCTTACAAAGTCACTAGTTTTAAATAAGTATTATTTAAAAGATTTTCACTTTTTAATAAAATGTAATTGTCAAATAAAAATAAGTGAAATTTAATACTAATGTCGATGATAATTAAGTAATCAATTTTTTTAGAATAATTAAGTAATTAAATTTACTTAAGATAGTAAATAGTGAAWCATTAAATAAATTGTTGATAACATTTTCTGTACGGTATATGTCGAATGAATATGTATACTCTTATTTGGACTTTGATAAATACTKGTAAAGTATTTTCATAGRTAATTGAATATTTTATTTTAAAAATTAATTATTGGATGGACAAATGTATTAAAAATATTCTATATATCCTTAAAATAGTATTTTCTAATTTCATAAGAAAATTCACTTTTGTAAAATAATTAAAAAATAATTAGTTTATAAATTATTTTTTAAAAAAGAAAAAATTAAAACTCGACCAACCGAACACAAGTTTAATAAAATACAAAATACAGACTTAACAAATTCAAACTTAACACCAACCAAACATAGAGTTAACAAATACTTAACAAACTCATAAACCACGACAAAACAGCGAACCAAACAACCCCTAAATGTTCACTTTGAGAGCTAGCCTTCTCTTCTTCTTCCTTTTAAAGCTTCAATCCAAGCAAAAACACACAAGATTGAAGGACCATAAAAATTATTGAACAAAAAGAAAGAAAACTCACATTTATTTCTCTTGAAAACAACTTGAGGAAGTTGGAATCAATTTACTGAACTTGAAATCTTACCTGTAAGCTTACTCATCCGTTACTAACATTAACCATACTTTTCCGAGCACTTTCCAACAACAATTTTAGGCTTTATTTCCTTCTTTTTTTCTTCTCCTTCCTCCCCGTTTTCTTCCCTCTCATTTCCTTTTTTAATCCTTCCTCTTTCTCTTTCTCTCTCCACTTATCTTCTTTCTTTTCCGTTTTTGTTTTTTTTAAAGCAAATCAGCAACAAAGTTGTTTTTTTAAATAATATTTTTATTTAAACTTATTTTTAAAATAATGCTGCATATAATAAAATTAAAGAAAAATGTTTCTTTTGAAACTTATTCCAAAAATAATACTTTTGAAATTAGTATCGTACTTGATCAACCATGCCATTTTTAGTACTTGGTCGTCATAAGGACATGGCGCTTTATTGGCGCAACGTCTGACTTTTTTTTTAAATTCAAGACATGACGACCATGTGTTGGAACGCATTTCACGGTCGCTCCTTCAAGGGACTACTTGAAATTTTAAGGAAAAAATAAATATTATTATATATTATATAGTAAAAAGTAGATTTTTATTTAGAATATCAATTAGTGGCAGAGTGGATGCTGATGCAGTTTTATTCCTTCTCTTCATCCGTTCCAGGAGAGATGGCCGAATGATTGAAGGCCTAAAAGTCAAGAGAACGCTTGGAGAATTGGTTTAAACGATAAGTCTTACATACAAGTTGAGTACAAATTCACTCCACCCAAACTAACTTTAACTAAAAAGTTGATTATATATAATAATTAAGGTGACCGCAAATCTACCAAAAGACTATAATGATTATATATATATATATATATATAATAATAATTATAATAATAATAATAATAATAATAATAATAATTACTCAAAAAAATAAAAGAGTTCGATGAATAATAAAAAGAAAAAAGAAATGCATACACAGTTTATCAAAAATTATATTTCTTGAAATATATTAAAATATAAATAATATATAATAATAATATATAAAATATAAAATATAAWAATAATAATAATGTACTGTTTTAAAAAATAATAGTAAAAAGAAAAACTTGTGTTTATAATGATTTAATAATAAATAATAATAATAATAATTTCTCAAAAAAATAATAATAAGTAAAGAGTTCGATTATTTTTTTAAAGAAGTAAAGAGTTGATTAATAGTAAAAAGAAAAAAAGAAATGCATACATAAAACACTGCAACATCATCTACTGYGCTACTAATTAATCCAAATCGTTGCTTTACAAGTCATCCCTACACATGATCGTTTCTTGAAGAGACGACCATGTCTTGTATTTAAAAAAAAAATCAGACGTGGCGCTAATAAAGCGCCACGTCCTAATTATGGTCGTCTCTTCAAGAGATGACCAACTACTAAAAATGACATAGTCGCAAGAGACGATCAAGTGAAGCACTAATTTCAAGAGCATTATTTTTTTAACAAATTTCAAAGGAAGCATTTTCTCTATAATTTTATTTAATGCAATACTATTTTAAAAATAAGTTTAAATAGAAACATTATTTTAAAAAAAAATCCCCAAGTTATTGCCACACTTTATTTTTTCTCTCTCTCTCTTTTCTAAAACCAAAAATCGAATTATATAGGTCTCGTTTCTTAACCATTCCATTTTTTTATTGTTGATTTTGATTTTTAGTTTTTTAAAAATATGCTATTTTCTTGTCTTTTGTTTTTCAAAAAAAAAAATTCAAAAACGGATTTCTATTTTTCAAAATCTCAATTTTTCTTCTAATACTTAACTTTTTTCTTTTTTCTTATATTTATCTCTAAAAATTTATTTCTCATTCTAAAATATTTTTCTTCCAAAGTTTCTCTCAACAAAATTTATTATTTTCTTTCTGAACTTTTCATATTTTGAATATTTATTATTATTTATCTCTCTCCAAATTTTTTGCATTTTTATTTTGTATTTTTTATTTCTAACATATTAATTTCATTTCTCTCTCTAAAAATTTAATATTTTTCCTAACTAATTTTTTCTTTTATAACTTTTTTTTCTCTTCCTAATCTATTTGTTCCTCTGAAATTAAATGTTATTTTTTCGTTGAATTTTCTTTCGCTGTAACTTTTTTTTATCTCTRTATTTATTTATTTGCTCTAAAAATGATATTTTGAATATTATTTTTATCTCTAAATTTGTTTCCACTATAACTTTTCTCTTTCTTTAACATATTTTTTTCTGTCGACTTTATTTTTTCCTCTAAAATTTTTCTATTTTTGTCTTTAAATTTTATTTCACTATTTCTTTTTATAAATCTTTTTATTTATCTCTCTAAAATTTATCTTCCAAAAGTTTACTTACATCTCTCTAAACTTGTATTTTCATGTCTCTACATTAGGGGAAGACAAAAAATTCCACAGGGCCCAAAAATATGAAATGYATGGCCCGACCCCGTCCCCGATTCCACTTTTGAATAATTAGTATATATTTATTATACGTTTTTTATACTTAAATTCTAAAAATAATTAAAAACAATTATAAAACTGATAATTTTTCTCCATAACATCTCTCGGACCGAAGAACGAGGTGGAGACGGGAACGAAAAATTTTCACGAACACGAGAATGGAAGAGAGYATGCTCACTCGCACCCACACAACATTGTCATCTCTACTCTACGAATTTTTACTCTCTAATATGTATTTTAATTTTTCTAACTTTTTAAAAACAGAAAACTAAAAGTGGTTTCCAAACATGTTTGGTCATTCTGTTTTTTTAAAATAAAAAACAAAAAATGGTTATGAAAGATATATGATTTTTGTTGTTTAAAAGCAAAAAATCAAAAATCAAAAACTAAAAACTAAAAACTAAAAACACCAAAAACCAAAAACCAAAAACACATATGGTTATCCAAAACGGGCCCATAGTAATACTCAATTGTCATTACAAGTTACATATTATTTGAACAAATACTAGGAAGTAGAAATAGACATAGATTTTTAATTACTATTACAGACATTGCTGCAACAATATCATTCTTTTACATAATACAAATGAAAACCACAAAATAAGTACTATATTGCCACTTTTTGCATGCAGGGAACACACTATTATATTGGATTTATCACACGCAACAAACTTTTCAAACCCTACTTCAGAGGGAGTTTTTGAAATGTTACCCACAAACAACATTATTCTTATTCTTATTTATTAATTACTATTATTATTAGTATGAGTATTATTATTATTATTATTATTAAATTGCTTTGGGTTTGGTTTCATATTTGAAGTTGTAGCAGTTGACACTATGGTAAACACCATCATCCATATCATAGGTAATTGTTCTCCCATCATAGAGACTATCGCATTGTGTATAYGAGTACGGAATGTCACATGTTCCCTTAGTTGCCAACAAACTGACGATTATAGTTGTCATTGGTGGCACAGATACGTCATATGCTATTTCCAGTGTCTTTGATGAAGTTTTAGTTTTTCCCCATTCATACCCTCCTGAAAACTCAGCTGAAACTTCAATCTTTCCATCAGCAATAAAGGGAACTCCTGTTTCAATTGTTGTTGCGATACCTAGCTTCATCGAAATGGAAGAAGTCCACGTGCTGGATTTGGTGTCAGTATATGAGAGTTTCAAGTTCACAGTGTTGGATGCTTGTGTTTTGTTAGTAGCAGTTGCAGTTGCCATGAGCATCACAGTTTGATCATAAATCCTGGCATCAGAGAGACGAAAGTTTACATTATAGATCTTTCGTGAAAACACAGGCTCCACCATTTCCAATCGTGTGTAGAAGTTAATGGAGTGTTCRGCAGCATTGAGACAACTTGTCTTGTCATCGGCAGTGAGCCTTTTGACATAGTTTTTGTTACTCATACTACGAAGAGCAATGACATTGGAAGAATCAACTTTAACTGGCCAAAATAAAGTATCAATATTTTGGGACGTGGTGTCAGTGGAGTCCGCCCAAATCCAGTTAGGACTAAGTCTCCAAAATCTTCCAAAATGATTCGACTTTATACGAATACTTCCATCCTTAGTGAGGAATGTTTCCATTACAACGGAAGAATCTCTAATATCACTTGATGAAAATTGTAGGTATGGATGATATCCATTCCAGTAGCCACGAAGGTAACAACCATTATCGCCTTTAAAAGCAATATATTTAGGTATCGAAAGCAATAACTCCCAATCAGTGATTTCATGGAGATCACAGAGATCTCTGTTAGGGTCCACCGATGGCCATAGTGCACGCAAGCAATCCCCACGAGGGCCATCGTCTCTCCACAAGCATAAAAAGAACTCACGATGGGCATGACGAAATCGAAATCCTACATTGTAGGTATCAAAATAAACAGGTCGAAACAATGTGCAAGTCCATTTGTATCGATCTTCTTCTTTTTGTTCAGCTCCTGCAACAATGTAAGAACGGTCTTCGGACCAACTAACCAAATATTTGTTGTTGTAACAACATCGTATGTGGACTAAAGATGGGTCAGCTTTGGCTTGCTCCAATTCAAACTTTGTGTGTGGAGAAAAAATCTCATCTCCTGAGTATTTCAGAAATGTTTGTCCTGGTGAAGCTTCATTTGTACAGCGCAAATAGTTGTTATTGCACCTTGATTTCAACGCTGCATACCTTGGAAGATGCACCATTTTGATCTTCTTTCTCCTTTTCACTGTTTCTCAAATGGAAATTTTATATTTTCCTACATTTGTTCCTCTGATTCTATTTATAAGAAGGGAAGTAGAGATTCTACATTATCCCAACTTTCATTTCACGAATAAGATTCTCACTCTCCTTTTTATATACTTTTTTTCCCCTAAAATTCTATAAAGGAATCTAAAGATCCAAGAAGGAATAAAACTTCMCTAGTTTTAGATTCTCACTCTCCTTTTTATATACCTTTTYYCCCCCCTAAAATTCCAAAAAGGAATTAAAGTTCCAAGAAGCAATAAAACCTCACAAACGTATCCACTTTCAAATTTTGTCTATTTTAGTTCTAGTATTTTTAAAATGTTAATTCAGGTGAATATCCAACCCAAACCTACAGAAAGATTCGGTTAAAGGGCAATGGTACCCCTTTACCCCAAAATCTTTACTTTTAGTTTAACCGAATACACCTTATACCAATAGAGATAATTGTCTATATCTATATATCATAAATCATGTTCTTCCCTAATCAACATGAGACTTTATTTGCATTCCATTTACAAACTCGATAGATTCATATCCAAAAGATAGCACACTTAATTGGGGTAATTGAAAAAGGACTTAGAAACCAACGATCTAATAAAAGTATTAAATCTAATAATATTTCAAACTTTTTATGAGTTGCTCCCAAAAAATCCAAAGGATCTATTATCCCTGAGAAGCCAAATACCCAAATGCCACAAAACCCGTCAYTTTATATGTCGCAAAAACTAATGTGATGATGCACTAATCATCTTATTGAAAGGCACAATGAAAGAAATAACATTTTATAGAGTAGAAACTATAGAACTGTAAAAATAACCTAATGTAGATTTGATTAACCTATCTGTCACTCTATTAAATAAGTGATTAATAAAGTGATTATTGATATGAGCATAATCCAAATGATTTTCCTTAAGGATCATAAGATTTCATTACTCTCTCCCTCATTTTCTAAGTAATATTGTAACGAGGAAAAAAAATTAATTGACACATTTCATTTAGATGTAGTTAATGCTAATTTCTGACTTACAACTAAATTATCCGGGCTCCCGCCCGTCRGTGCAGATCTTGGTGGTAGTAGTAAATATTCAAATGAGAACTTTGAAGGCTGAAGAGGGAAAATGTTCCATGTGAACGGCACTTGCACATGGGTTAGTCGATCCTAAGAGACGGAGGAAGTCCGTCTGATACGGACCGYGCGAGCTCATGGTTTTCTATTAGTATAAAAAAGGACGTGTTTAAATTTCTAAAAGGCTTCTACTCGGTATTCAATTTACTCATAACTCTTATTTGATTTATATGAGTAGTCTTTATAAAAAAAAATATAATACTATTTTCTTATTCAAATGYTGGGATTTTCTGCATTGCTTTCATATATGCCAAGAAAAGAGAATCCCACAATGACCTCATTTTTTCTTTTACTCTTAAGAAAYAATTAAAAGAAAAACAAAAGTATATAGCTTTTATCTTTTTACCTAAGATTCCTACTTTTCTTTCTAATAAAATACTCAACTGTAGAAAAAACTTATCATGGTATACATTGATGAAGACATTTAAAATAATAATAAWAAAAAAAGACTGTATTTTAGAAGTTGGACAAGTACATGCATTTTTCCTTTTTATGGACTGATTTGAGGAAAAGTTGTGGGCTGGTTTTGTTTCTTGTTTCTGTTTCTTTAGTTTTAACGAAGAAAAATGTATTGCATGGTTCCAACCTCAAAGAATTCAACTATGATAAAACAATCTTTTTATTTATGTTTTGAAAAAAATTGGAAATGGGAACCAGAAAGAAGAAACTTGTTTTGGTTGTTCCAAAATTTCTATATAATTGTGAGAATGTTCCTAAAAGAGGAGAAACAAGAAATAAAGTTAGTTGTAAAATGGTTAAATTTCTTAAGAAAATTTGAAACGAGAAACAAGAAATGAGAACGTTGCCAAACGAGCCCCRTATAACTCAAGTGGCCATAATAATATCTTCTCTTATATGTGGTAGATTTTAATGATTCTCTTCTTTATTTGTAATGTACTTTTGACATTTATTCTTCTTCGTATCAAAGAATACTCTTTTTCAATAAATTTTCTCCCTTTATCCTGTTACTTTTTTTTTTTGGTTAAGGATCCCACGTCGAAAAGAGAGTGGACCTTACATAGACATTTCCATGGATATTGATATGATATCAAAACTCAAAACTCAGAACGTTCAAACGAGCAACAGGTCCAAAATAGTATCCAACCAAAATCGATGAGCCAAAAAAGCCACGAGCTTGAGGAGACATGTTAATATATTAATATTTCTTTATCATCTTTGTATACTACTTTATTTTTCTTTATTTCCTTAACTTTTTACAGAAATACATATAATTCTTAAAATAATATAATATCATTCAAAAGATTCTTTCTAGGTCAAATACTAATTCCTTTTAGCCAATTGTGAATCTGATTGCATCTCAAATGAAATAAACACATACTTAAGTTGTTGAAAAAAAAGAATTGGTTATTTTTAATAGGTAAGCTGCCTCTCTARGGTCAAAATTCAAATTCAAATTTTCACTCTCGTTTATAATGGTATAATTAAAATTCAAATTTTCACTCTAGTTTATAATGTTATAGTCTATAAAAACTCATGCATGTCAATTGTCATGGTCATACTTTTTCAACGGTGTGATGCGATTTATCTTACTCTGATCATAGCCAGCCTTAAGACTAACTCTGCTCCCTACATTATTCTTTTCGCGAGTCTTTTAATTTCGTTGGACTATAGGTGAGGTTCTTTCCCTCTTCTTCAACGGARCATCTTTATACTTGCGTCAAGAAGAGTCTTGAACAATTATCACAAAATCATTTTCAGACGAGTAAGATTACTGCGGTTGGGTGCCGGGTTATATAAAATGTAGATTTTTTTATTTTTGTGAATGGACGTTGTTTATTTTATCAAAGTAAAACGATAAGTATTTCTAACWAAATGAATAAAATATCTTTTAACACTACATCATCATTTTAGCCCTCACAAATTTTATTGGTTTTTTTTTCCGTAAGAGTTAGAAGTTAAATAAAAAGAATCCATATAAAAAATTAAATTGACATTTTTTTTTAAAGATTAAGGACAAAATTTAAATATATTTAGTTTTTAAAAATAATGATTCAACATAAACAACAAATTCAATTATTCCATTAACTTTTTTAGATTCAGATAAAAAGTGGTGTGACAACGTAGGATTCTCCAAACTTATAATACGAGTCCAAAAGTTTTATTGGAGACCGAGATTCTGTCTTCCACTAAATTCAAGAGGGGAGAATTTGAATCTAAGATAAGTACTTTAATCCAACTCATTTGAATAAGATATTTACAATAAGACATTTCGTGTACTAGGTAAATGACATTTGCTTGTACAATTTTTGGTTCATTTTAGAGTTTTGTCTAGAGTCGTGTTTGAAAATTCGAGGAGAAAAAAAGTGTTATAACAATAAAAAATAGAAAAATACAATTACCTTAAAAGTTGTTATAATATCATATCCTCGAATTTTCAATTTAATCAATCATCCCTTAAAGGACTTATAAGCAAAATGCACCAACTATCCCTAACTATAAAAACTGTAACAATTAAACACAAAATTTTTTAGTTCTAATAAATATGAAAACTTTAATATATTTAACAATTGAACATTGGTGTTTTCAAAACAATGTGAGCTAACATCTCAATTCTGGAAATGAAAAAAATTGATGTAAAATATTTTGGTTTGATTGTAACAATTTTTTTAGTTCACAGTTTTCACTGTAMCTATACTTATTGTTAGAGGTGGTTTGTGCACTAATATATATTGAAAGGTTTATTTGCAACAATTTTATAAGTTTAGAGGAGGATTAATCAAATTGAAGGTTCGAGAATGTGATTGTAGCCATCCCTATGGTTGAAGGATAAGTCTTGCAATTTTTCCTTTAATTAAAAGAAAAATAAGTGCAAGCAGAAATAATGAAATTGTTGCCAACTTAAATGGTTTTAAAATTTTGTGATTGTCGCAACGTCATAGGAACATCAAGACTTGAACTTACGACATGAGTGTTAAAAATAATTATTTAGTAAAAATGAGGCATGCAAAGATTCGAACTTGGGTCATGTACATTAAAAAATGATCATCTTACCACTGTGCCAAAATCTTAAGATGTAAATATCATATCCTTTTACGCAAATAAAAGTTTTAATTTATTTTTTTMAACTAAACAAAGCTACGAATTTTGTTAAATTAAAACAAAAAAAAAATTCGTTTTTTATTTATTTCGAAATTAACAAAATTATTTAAAAGAAAGAAAAAAAAATTTATTTAAAAACAAAGTCAAATTCACTTTAACAAAACTTATTTGCTAAAAAACAGATTTTTTGTTAAGATTTTCTCAAAACCATAACCACCAAACCATTAAAAGAATTTTAAATGAGATTTTATTCTAAAATACCCTGTTTTTATCTYCTCCTTTAAAATCCTGCAGCAGAAGATTCTTTTTTAATTAAAAAAAAAACAAAGGTAATACAAAAAATATAAACCTTGTAAAAAAAAATCATTTTAAATAAAAACTACATTTTAAATAAAAAAATCCAAATTTAAACTTCAAATCCAAATTTAAAACAATCCAAAATTTTTTAAACAAGATTTGTTTTATAAAACTCCTATTTTTTCAACGTATTTTAACCAAAATTTTAAAGTAAAATATTTTATTAAAATAARATTAAGTTTATATTTATTTCATTTAAAAAACTCTTCTTTATTAGAAAAAGAAAACCTTTTATTTTAAAACCAATTTTAAAATATCAAAATCCTTATTTTATTTTAAAAAACTTATTTCAAATTAATTTAGAAGATTTTTTTCCTTACTAAAAACATTTTCTTTTTAAAAAAKAGTAAAAAAAACTTTTTCTTAAAAAAAAACAAAAAAAGCATGTTTCCAACGTATTTGATGCTTACTTAA